TTTAGCTTCACAGTGATTCATGCACCATATATCAGCATCATTTCAGCCAGAAGAACATGAATAAATAATACATCAAATTTCAGAAACTGGAAACAACTCACCTTTGGTGTTCCTGTGGTTCCACTTGTGTAGCAAATGGTTGCAATGTCTTCAGGCTTTGGAGGGGAAAATGGATGTAAGCTACTCCGACCCTAAAGATAATCAGTAGCAACATGAACTCTCTTCAACTACCAAGCACAAGTCATTACAGGATAGATATAGACATTGACAGTGGGGATAACATAACATTATCCGTAAAGCTCGTAACCAAAATAACAGCATACATTTGATTAAAACCAATCGTAGAAGGCTACCTGACTCAATAGCTTTTGGTATGATACAATTTTGACTCCAGATCTGGGAGGAAGTGATGGCAAATGCTCATCCGCTCCTCCCACCACCTTATCACAATGCAAAAAGATATATAATAAGTGAAAGATACTACAGTCTATGTATCAAATAACAATGAAGTTACATGTTGGATATGTACATACCACAACAAGACGGATGGAGGGAATTTCCGCTAGGAAGCTTAGCAACTGCATAGTTCCGAAAAGAATTAAACACACAACTGATGACTGAAGACTGTAAGTGGTGCAATTTAGATCACTTGGACTGGTTTTCATATAGTAATGACCTGGACATGAGCAAACAAAAACAAACTTACAGTATTTAAGGTTTGTGGAACACAAAAAATAGCCTCCACAGTAGCATGATTCACAGCAAACTTAACCGCGTCTGGACCTGCGTAATGAGAAAATCATATTACCAAGAGACAAGGCTCGCAAACCCATAAATAAATAGAATTTTAATCGAATTTAGATGGGTACCAAGTGTTTCATATAAAGGAACAGAGATAAATGAATATGCTGCACAAGCATGATCCACAACAATCCACTCGGGTCTGTTAATAAAATAGAGGCCAACGCGAGCTCCCTGTTCCATTAAATGAAACAAAAAAAAGGCAATAAACCAGCTAAAAAGTTTTAGAGAGAAATGGAGAATTTTGGTGAAGCTGCTCGGGCTATAATATTTCATACTGCATAAGCTAATTATATAGAAGACATTCAAAGTAGAGCGGTTGAGTGAAAAAAGAAAACTTGCTTGGTTAATTCCATGATACACAAGTCCTGAACCTATGGCTTGTCGTGCAATAGCTGTTTCTGCATATGTCATCCATGTGTAGCTTGAACAAAAACATAAAACCTACCTCAGCTCAAAAGTTACTTAAATGAAATCTCTCATGCCAAAAAGAAGAGTCATGAGAAAAAAAGAACTCACTCTCCAACGGTTCCATCGGGTCGAACTCGTGTACCCAGATACTTGTTATCAGGATATGTTTCAAAAGCATGTCTGATTCCAGTAATCCAAGGATTAGGTGACACAACTAGCCAATCAATTGAACAAGCTCAAAGAAAGTAATCAAACATACACAAAATTGTCGTGTAAGGTCCCGATTTCTGGATGATCCGGTAATCTGCTAACGAGTTTCATAGGCGACTTAGCAGATCTAGCAAGCACACAGCAACAAATAGAGATTTACCATGATTATAATCATCAACACATACACTATCTTAAAAGTAAAGATGCAAAGAAAGCAATGTTTTTTTTTTTGACCTGTAGACATTCCATTTTCCAGTGTCGAGCTTTTCTGGAAGCACCACACTGTAGCTATCATCCTCTAGAGAAAACAATTGAAAAGCTCAAGAAAACAGAGAAATCAAGGCGTAGATACATACAAAGATGGGGGGATTAAAGGTGCTTACCGTTGGAGAAGGGCGAAGCGGTGGCGTTGAGGAAGAGAGAGGTTCGATCATCGGTCGGAGAAGAATCGAGGTGAGATCGAACGGTTTCGAGACGACGTTGCGCCGGCGAAGAAAATTCCATCGTTTGAGAAAACTCTCGAGAAAATGTTTGAGCTGATTGATATACGAAATAAACCGATTGCTTAACAATCTATTGAAAAATGAAAATTCAACTGAATATTGTGATAATTGATAAACAACAATATATGTGACGTCACAAATAAAAATAAACATTATAGGAAAAAGAGCAAATAG